CAAAACTGCCCTTCCAAATGCAGTGTCATCTCTAGCACGGTGTTGGATTGCATAATGAGAAGTGAAAGTATGAGCAGACCACCATGTAGCTGCTCTACAAATGTCTTGGACTGGGACATGAGCAAGGAAAGCTGTTCACAAAGCCCGTGCCCACGTTGAGTGGGTGGAAAATGGACCAGTGGAAATCTTTGCAAAATCATAGCATGTGCAGATAAAGGCCATAATCCAAGCAGAAATCCCCTATGAGGTGATTGGAACCCCTTCATTCTGTCCGCTACTGCTACAAACAGTTGGGTTGATTTCTTGAAGGGCTTATTGTGCTCTAGATAAAAGGCTATTGCCCACCTTACATCCAGGGTGTGTAGGGGCCAGTCTCTCAGCATGGAGTGAGAGGGTAAAAAACAGATGTCCTGGGAAACATGGAAATGGGAGACCCCCTTTGGGAGGAACACTGGATGGGGCCTTTAAAGAACATTGTAGAGGAAGATTCATACATTAGTGACCTAAGCTCAGAAACCCTTCTATCCAAGGTGATAGCCACCAGAAAGACAACCTTCATTGACTTGTACAGCAGGAAATATGTCATCAGCAGTTCAAAAACAGGCCCAAGATTAAACTTGCAAGCACTAGATTCAGGTCCTATTGTGGTACTGGGTCCCTTATGTGCAGATACAATCTATTCAGACCTTTAAGAAATTTCCCCACCAACTGGTTTACAAACACTGAGCAGCCCCCTGATCCTGGGTGGAATGCCAGGATAGCAGCCAAATGCACCCATATAGAAGCACCCATATTGCTAACCCCTGTTGTTTTAAACACATGAGGATGCTATTAGGGTATTCTGTTCCAGAGACCATATTCCCATGGCTTGACACTCCTGTCATGAAGCTCCGTCCCGAAGGCTTTGCAGGCTAACCCTACCACCCTTAGCTCTTTGATATTGATGTGCAGGGGAATCTGTGCCTGAGACCACAGCTGGCGTTGTCAGCTTGCCCAGATGGGCTTCCCAGCCAAGATCTCAGGTGTCTATAATCAATGTTAACGTGGGTGGGGCACATGGAAAGGAACCCCATTGCACACGTTGAGAGGGTCTAACCACCATTGGAGAGTGGTAGAGTGGTTACTCTGTCCTGGGGATGATGGGTTGGTTTGTTCACCTGGGCCAACCACACCTGCGGGAGCCTGAGACATAGCCTGGTGCACAATACCACAGAAGTGCATGCTAACATATGCCCCAGAATCTGATAATTGATCCAAAGGAGCAATCGGATCAGGGAATTACATAGAAATGTTTTCAAACATTGATGCAACAGGCCATAGTGGCAACTGACTTGTTACAGATGACTTAAGTGAGCATGAAAACTGTAAAATTGAGATGCAATTAAAATTTTAATGGAAGAATTTTGACATCAGTGAGTTACCTTAAATTACTCCTTGATTATCCACAGCCATTTTAATAATATTTTAGGTCAGGCTTTGAGCCAGTGGTTTACTGGGTCTGGATTTTCAGGCTTTCATGCTTGTTCATACTCATCTTTAATGAGTTAGTAGCCACTGTGCTGCATAATTGATGTTTTGAAGATATTTAATTATTTGATCTGATTGCTTCTTTGGAACTGTTATTGTCAGTCTGTTGTGAATAATACACTCATTTTAATAATTCCCTAATTATATGTTTACCTGATAGTCTAAATTCTCTTATTATGGGAAGCATGTGGTTATGAAATTATAAAATTATATAATTGTTATGCTTTTTGTAAAGCTTTCTACTGTGGATAACAGAAGAAAATACAAATGCAAAGGCTATTTAAGTCCACAAAATACTTTTTTCTTCAGTAGTCACCGATGAAAGTTGTGCTGAGGTTGAACATAAAACCAAACTCCCTCATTTTTGTATGGATCTTGTAGGAAATAAACACAGTTCCATTATACATGTGTCACTGCAAAAATGAGTGTTGAAGCTGAAAGTCTGGGCAGACATTTGGGCACTTAATTGACAGTCACTAGAGCTTTTGCTTTAATGAACTATGACATTTGTTTAGAAAGCCCTTCTTAAATGAGTCTTAATGCTAGCATTCTTAGCTTCTGTGGGTTTGTTGGACCTACAAATTCACTAAGCAGTATGTGTCACAGTTCAGGGAAAATACATTTTTTATTTCCTCTCTATGGTTCAGTAAAGGCATCCATTCGTATTGCTTTTGGCTTCTCAGACATTGCCCTTCTTGGGCAAAGATTTGCTTTACTCTTTCTGACTGGGGTTTCTCCAGTCTGCACAGGTCCCTGCCAGCTCTGTGAATCCCATGAGTCTGAGAGTCCCTTCTTTATACAGTTTTTTAAAATCTGTCTTGATGTAACAAATGAGGAAATAAAAGTTCCCCCCTTCAGGGTGAAGCTTCAAAAGTATAACTGGAATAGATGGATTTGCATTTCTCTCCTGCTAGAGATGTCCTGGGAAACCAATGTAACTTTAAAAGTTCATTCTGGATTTGGCCCATTTTTCACATAGTTCTTTGAAGTTCATATGAGTTCCCAAGGTGTACATTTTTTATGTTAAATACAATCCCACTGTAACTCATAAACATCTGCATTTTTACTTTGAGCTACTGAGATACCAAACTAATTCAGTGAGGTTAAACTTAATTCAATAAGTTTGTCCAGGAAATTGCAGTATATTTTTATATCTGACTATTCTGTTCATATTGGCGGTGACTCTATCTGCTCACAAATAAGCCAAGAAAGGGAGAATTTTCTAAAGGCTAATGTTATGCCTATTAACTGCGTTCACTAACATTTCTGGTAGTGGGTGAAAATCCTTTTGTGTTTTTCTTCATTTACCTTGAATACAAAAAGTCCATGCAATTAGTAAAATGGTTGTTCATTTTGTTGTTTGACATCTGAAAAGTGATGCAAGTTTTTTCTTTTCAAAAGAGAACCTAGAGCAAAAAAACCTAGATTACTTTGAAAAACAGGCCTTTCCTGGTAATCAAGTGTTTACAGAAAGATGTTTTGTTCAAACTCTTTCTGGGCTCTGTATGTTTAAACAAAGAGATTTTAGAATTAAACACAGCTGTTCATTTGAAAATGAAAAATCAAATTAAGCAGAACCCGCTTTTGAAAACTAATGCTGTATAGCAACTGAAACAAAGGAAGAAAATACTGTGTTGTACATTACACTTAAATAACTTTTTTAAGATAAAGTTTTCAACAAAAAAGTATGGTTTCAAAGCCGCTCATCTCTTGCTATATCCCGCAATAGAACATCTGCGCTCATTTTGATGCGGATGAATGACATGAATTAAACTAAAACCGTTGAAGTGCTCTTTTTAACATAATTACACCTTGTTCATTTTGGAGACACAATGCAGGGATGAAATGCCAATTAAGCCTGGTATGTTAATGAGATTGAGACTGAATAGCGGATTAGAGCGGACATAAATCCCACTGGAATTGATTTGATATAATCCCTCAAGTTTGTTCTGTTTTAATAGAAATGTTATCATACATGTGAAAATCTCCAGGCACAGTTTAAAAAAAATCTTGATGTGTTTTGTGTGAGATTTAGTCAGGAAATTGTAAAATTGGTTCAGTCTAGGTAAAAGTTGGTTGATTTTCTTGTTAATAATCTCATTATTACTGAACAAAGTTTTTCCTAGCTTGTTGACTTCTTGTCTTGTATGAGTTCATATTTTCCTCTTGCATACACCAGAGATATTAAGTGCCAAGAAATGTAACTATTATTTTGCTACATAGCTCTCGGCTGATGAAGGCCCGAATATTCAATTCCAGATAAGGGAAGAAATGAAAAAAGAAGTATTTATTCAATACGAATGCTTTCTAAGCAAAGATTCATCATCTTTTAAAGTTATTTTGATAAATAGAATCATGGAGAAGAGAAAATATATGGACACTAAAGCTTTCTAATGCAATTTAAAAGCCAAAGATAGGTGTGTGCTTATGTTACTTGTTTTTTTGAAATTATTACACAGCCTAACTTTTAAATGATCCCATTCAAATTAAGATAATTATTTACTGGCCCCATATTCTAAGAAAAGACTCCTTGTTATTGTGTCTGAGCACAGCTGAGGGCGCCCGCTCAGGGCGAATTGCTCAAATCCGGGGCTCCTTACAGCCCTCAGACTGGTGACCTCTCCAAACAGGCCACAAACCAGTCCCACAGAGCACTTCAGCAGCCTGCCTGAAGCCTGCCCCAGATGGCCCCGGGCCTCATACACAGGTGGGGGGGTCCTAGCATCCAATCCCACCTACCCCGAACAAGTTCTGTCCGGTTCCAAGAAACCAGCCACAGATCCCTGGTCAATTTACCCTCTGGATCTTACCCACAAATCACGCTGGGCCAATCCTTTAGAATCTATATCTAAAGGTTTATTATTACAGGAAAGAAAAGCATGAGAGTAAGGTTGTTAAAGAATAATACATTACATGCATCGAATCTCCCAGTCTTCGATGCAGGCTCTAGCAGAGATGTTACAGCTGCTGGTTTAAAAGTTCTTGTTGCACATCCTAGCATCCGGATGGGTTCACAGGTCTTCCGGGCTCTTCCATCCCTGCACTGCTGCCTCTGGGATGAAGTGCTGAGCTGAGAACAAAATGGCATCGACCATATGGCCTCTTTATACCTTCTTCCTGGCCTCCTCTTGTATGCAGAAGGTCACCTGGTCAGAGGCCAATCCCTGTGTTTCCTTCTGGCTGCTCTCAGGTGACAGCCCCCATTCTTTGGGTGTGTCCTTGGCCCATCAAGTGCCATTGTCCCACAGGGCCTGGCTAATCAGCCTGTCCATAGCAATGCTTAACCACATTCAGAGAAATATTCAGCTTCCACACAGATTACAGATTCCTACCTACACACACAGACATTATACACTCACATAAATAGCGTACATAAGATCAGCAAACAATAAGCTCCCATTCAATACCCCACATGGCTCCCTTTTATACCAATTTCTGGGGCCAACACCCCCACCTAGGGGTGCAGCAGCGATCTGGCTGCTTCCCTCCAATTCGGTAATGTGACAGTTATATTTAGAATCATGTGCCTCTCTTATGTGTACATTGTAAGAATGGAGTGTATAAAGTGGTGGATATACTCAGTCTTCAAAGTTTTGTAAAATAACTTCATAGTAGCTATTATTGGCATATCTATTTTTCCAGTGGTTGAGTGGTCCCTTTTTATTAGTGTATGAACCACTTGCCATAAACATATTCAATGTTAGAGTTTTGTACTTTCTTGGAGAATGATCTGTTACTTTTCTCCTAAACAGAGAGTGGAGACACAGTTTGATGGAATGAAAGTAATTGCTAGATGTTATAGATTGCATATAGTACAATACTGTATCTAGTGTCCTTGTAGGTTTGTGAAGTTAGAAATAGGATGGAAGATCTAACTTTTTTCTCATATGAGCAATATAAAATATCAGCTGCTTGTGATGCAAGTAAATTTGGTTCTATGTGAGATTAGAATGTGTGGTAAACTATGTGTTGGAGGTAAGTAGATGCAATTATGTTAATGTATAGTGTGTGAGAGAGAAATCTTTATAACTATAGAGATGTATTTTTTACAAAGTAAAAATAAAGATTCAAGTCACAACTAAATAATTTTAAAGAATTTCTACAGAATGTATATACTAAAAATCCCTTGGCCACCAGAAAAGCTAAACCAGTGACACAAAGACATTATTTATTCAGGAGCCAAATTTGTGATCAGCCTTACCTGAAAGAGTCACAGTAGTGAGAATTCATTCCCACAGCAGAATGACTGACCAGGTGTCCTATAAATAGTTAATGTAGTAAAAATGTTCAGATTGGTTAATAATGATATTTCATGATATTTTAATATGTGCTGCAAAGAGCCATAGGAGATTTGTTAAAGAGGCTCTTGAGCCTCAGTCTGTGTATTACTGAGCTAAACAGCAATCTATCAACACCTCCTCAAGCAAAAACCTCCTACTGGCCCTGTGTGTGGCCTATCTAGCGCCTGTAAGGCCTTAGGACACAATCCATCTAATCCATGTAGTGAGTTTTATACAGTAAACATCACTACAATATCTGCCATCAGCTCCCAAGTGTTCTGGCTCATCTACTACATTGTTCATTGAGGGGAGATGGTTTCTTGGCCAGGACTCAAGCCATGTAGGGTTTTATAGATCATGTAACACTGTGAGTTGCATCTGGATGTTGAAAAGGAAGGTAGTGAGATTCCTATAAAACTGCTATAGGTAGCTAGCTCTCTATAGCATTCTGTACACAGCAGGCAGGTAGTTACATTCTGTACCTGCTGTAGCTTCCAAATGCTCTTTAAGGTTAGCCTCTTGTAGTCCAGTGTAGAGGACATGGGATACACATTGCTGTAGCAAATGAAATGGTAACCATAGTCTGACCGCAGAATCAAGGTAAGGGGAAAAAGTTCTTTTGATTATCTTGAATGCTTAACATTACAGTACCAGTCTTGTTGTCCAAAAATGCACGTAGTTTTTAAACCACTTGGACAAAATGATTGAAAAACATCCTCAGTAATAGATACGTAGGAAACACTTCTACTTGTCCTTCAAGTCTCTCTCTTCATAAACATCGTATTATACCAGTCTGGATTGAGTTTAAGATGGTTGTTTCCTCTGCATTTAGTCTGAGGTTAGCTGTAACTTCTTTGGGTAGTGTCCCCGTGAGTGCTCCACTGTGGGTGTCAGGCTCGTCCTGGCGCTGCAGTTCAGAAATCTTTCAGCTGTTGTCTGCCAGACCGTGCATGCGCTGTGGCCATCTTGCAGCTTTTTCCGCCATTTCTGGTCGCGCGGTCCAGCTCCCACCAGTTCTTTCTGACCATCTTCGGACACAGACGGAGAAATAGCTCCCTCATTCGTTGATCCTGTCAGGACTGAAAGAGGAGAATTTGTAGAAAGTTAATTAGTTAAGATTATAGTTAATGTTACAGTAGTTAGATTCTAGTTAGCTTAGCGCGTTTAAAAAACCCCACCTTTTCCTCTCACCATTCCTGGATCACCAGACTTCAAAAAATGCCTGATGTGCTGGGAGTCAATGCCCGCGTCAGACGGGCACTCCTCATGTATAAAGTGCCTAGGGGAAGGGCATATTCCCCAAAAGTGCCCACACTGTATGAAGCTGACGGCTAGGGCACGCCGCGACCAGAAGATGCGACTCAAGATGCTCTTATTGGATAAGGCGCTTTGACCACAGGCGGAAAACCTAGCTCATCTGCCGTCTCTCCCCGCCACAACTCATCGGCCTTCCCCCAAGGTGACGAGCCCAGAAAAGGGCCGATCGCTATCTCTTTCCTTACCAGCGCTCAGAGTGAGCACTGGAGATAAGCCGGGCATCTCGGTTATAGTGGCAGCCTGAAAGGCGCATAAAGACAAACTGCTGCATAGTACATTGGCACCGAGTCCAGAGGAGCGTTGGGCACCGAGATCTAAGCCGGAACCGATGTCAGCACCAGCCGCAGGACCGGTACCGGCCCCATCTGCCTCCAACCTACCAGCACCGACGCCGGGACTGGAGACCATATCGGTGCAGCCTGCACCTCATTCCTCAGCATCAACAACCTGAGCACCGGGACACACCATAGCGATGCACAGGGTTCCACCGGCACCGACACCTAAGGCACTGGCACAGTTGGCACCAATGCACTCGGCACCAGAACCATCGGCACCAGCGCAGCAGTCTACAACACTTCCATACTCGCACTGATTTTCAACACCTAGGACGACACCACCAACGCCTCTTATGCAACTCTCCCGTTCTTCCACTGGCAGAGGAGTAGCAGCGAGTCCGCAATAGGGGATCTTTTCCCCCCGAATCCCCTACTCCACCTCCAACTCGGCATGAATCCAGGCGGTTCCACCCTAGTGTCTGCTGCCAACCAAGGCACTACTGTCACTGATACTATAGCTCGCCATCTCCTTGGTATTCTTGGCACAGATCCAGATTCCCAAGGTCTCCCTCATATTCCAGATGCTCTACATACAGGGAAGACCACAGGCATAGATGCCAACCTTCTTATGATGATCGCTGGCATAGATACCATAGCCATTGTGAGTGATATTCCCACTCAACTTGCATCTCACCTTCACCAGCTCCGTCATTCACATCTTGTGACAGGAGCAGATCCCCCACCTTGTCCTCAGCCAGACCACCTACTCCATCTGGTGATCAACCACCAACAGAACAGCTCACCGTCGAAGCAATGCACAGCTCTGACACAGAGATATCACATCAAAGGTCCCCTATGGAGGTGGCGTCTTCTTCGCCAGACGATGCCATCCTCACTGGAGACACCTCACCATTAGATGACCTGAAGGAATTTCAGGAGTTATTCAGGCGGGTAGCCGACACCCAGAATGTACAGTTAAAGAAGGTCCAACAGAAACGACATCATCTGTTGAAAAACTTACATCCTTCCTCCCACTCTTCCAAGGTTGCTCTCTCTCACTGGACGAGGCCATACTTGAAATTGTCAATGAGATATGGCAAACTCCTGTCACGGAGCTGCCGACCAATAAAAAGGCCGACAAAAAGTATTTCATCCCAGCCAATAGGATGGAATTCTTGTTTAACCACCCCCAGCCTAACTCCTTAGTTGTCGACGCAGCTCAACAATGGGCCAAAGCCTCTCAATACAAAACCACCACTAGAGGTAAGGACAACAAGTGCCTAGATCTCTTGGGCAGAAAGGTGTACTCCTCGGCCATTCTAACGCTCGGAATGGCCAATTACGCGGTGCTGTTAGTGAACCACATCTTCGACAATTACGTGAAATTAGTTCCCCTACTCGACAACCTTCCAGACACTAAGCAACAGCTGCTCAAAGCTATCATTCAAGAGGGCTAGACCGCCTCTCGTTCAACGCTTCATATCGCTCTGGACACAGCGGATGCAGCAGCAAGGACGACAGCAACATCTGTCGTAATGCGCAGGGCCTCATGATTCCACATGTCAGCGGTACCTAGGGACCTTCAATCTAAAGTCGAAGACTTGTCCTTCAACAGACAAGGCCTCTTTGCGGACAAGACAGACCAGCTGCTTCACTCCGGCAAAGATTTGCGCACCATGCTCAGGACCTTGGGCATGTATTCGCCTCCATATTGACGGAAAAAGTACACACCCTATCAGAGACAAAGACCTTTCTCTTATGCGCAACCACAAAAATACGAGCACCAATGACCTAGGCAACGGCCTCAAAGATGATGGCCACAAGCCGCCAGACCAACAAATCAACAACAAATGAAACAGCAAGTTTGACGCGTGGATCAAGGGATTCCAAGCCATTCAAATACTACCTGTCTCGAATGCCAGTACTACGCTTTTCCACCATCGCTTAAGGCCCTTTCACCATCGCTGAGCTGCAATAACAGACAGATGGGTCATGCAGCTAATAACAGTGGGCTACGTAATTCCCTTTACGTCCCTTCCTCCTACCACTCCTCCTCTCCCATCCCTCTTCAGGGACCCCTCTCACAAACTCCTCCTCAAATAGGAGGTAGCTCATTTGCTCGACATCAGAGCAATAGAGAGGTACCCAAACCCTTCCAAGGGAGAGGGTTTTACTCCTGCTATTTTCTAACACAGACAAAATCTGGGGGTTGGAGGCCTATACTGGACCTTCACCATCTCAAGCAATACTTACGAAAGCAGCATTTCAAGATGGTGACCCTAACAACCATAATACCAGCACTTGAGCAAGAAGACTGGCTTGCATCCCTCAATTTACAAGATGCCTATTTCCATGTGACAGTTCATCCGGCCCACAGTCACATCCTTCGATTCTTTGTAGGCTCCAACATTACCAGTACAAAGTCCTGCCATTCGGTCTTTCGTCAGCCCCCAGGGTGTTCTCCAAAACACTGGTGGTAGTAGCAGCCTTCCTACATTGACTAGGAATCATAATTTTTCCCTACCTGGATGACTGTCTTCTCAGAGCCCGATCATTCGACAAGGCCTTAAAGTGCTGTCAACTCAACAAGACTGGTCACTGTACCAAGCACGGTCAAGCAATCCCTGAGGTGGTGGACCATCCCCCACAACATGTTGACAGGTATACCATTCCAGAAACCCCAGCCAACTATCCAGGTCACAACAGACACATCCGTGCTCGGCTGGGGGGTCCATATGCCGGACAGACAAGCTCAAAGCCATTGGTCAACCCAGGAATCTCTCTGCCATATAAACCTGCTCGAGCGACGAGCTGTGTACAATGCCTGCAACCACTTCCTCCCCTGGATACGCAGCCAGGGAGTGCGAATACTTACGGACAATATGACAACAGTCTATTATATAAACCGGCAGGGAGGAGCCTGTTCCCGTACTTTCTGCAGGGAAGCAGTGCATTTGTGGAATTGGTGTAATCAACACGATATCATGATTACAGCAGCATACCTCCCTGGGGACAATAGCACGACAGCAGATACGCTCAACAGGCACTTTGCCCAACAGCACTAATGGGAGCTACGCCCCAACGTCCTATGGAACATATTCTCGCACTGAGGCCATCCAGCGGTGGACCTCTTCACCACGCAGTACAACCCGAAATGCGTTCATTATTGCTCCAGAGTGGGCATCGGCCTTGTGTCAAAGGAGAAGGCCTTTCTGTACAACTGGGGTCAATAACCATGTATTCCCACCCATTCCCCTAATCCACAAAGTCCTAGAGAAACTGGCTGCGGACAGAGCAACACTAATCCTAGTAGCACCATTCTGGCCGCGCTAGACTTGGTTTCCTTACCTGTTCCACATGTTGCCTCATCCTCCGTATTGTCTTCCCAATTGGCCCGATCTACTGACACAGGATCACGGGCAATTGCTTTTTCCGCAACCAGATCACTTCACTCTGTCTGCTTGGCTCCTGACGGGTTCCAACATGAAAGAATAAGTTGCTCAAAAGCTGTTGACCACGTTCTTTTACATAGTAGAAAAACTTTGACCCATAATACTTACCTTCATTAGTGGAGAAGGTTCAGTGAATGGTGCTCTCACACTAACTCGGCTCCTCATGGAACACCTCTATATTCCATTCTGGAATATATTTTGCACTTCAAACACCTCAGTCTTTCTCTGTCGTCTCTCAAGGTGCACTTGGCGGCTCCTCATGGAACACCTCTATATTCCATTCTGGAATATATTTTGCACTTCAAACACCTCAGTCTTTCTCTGTCGTCTCTCAAGGTGCACTTGGCGGCTATCACAGCTTTCCGCCAACCAATCGAATGATATACTGTCTTCTCGCACCCCACTACGAGAAGATTTCTCAAAGGGTTGACCAACCTGTTCCCTGAACACAGACAACCCCTGGAACCTAGAGCTGGTCCTAGACACTCTGACGTGGCTCCCGTTCAAGCTTTTGGCCACATCTGACTTAGACTCTCTTACTATGAAGGTTGTATTCCTGTTAGCAATCACATCTGCACACAGGGTAGGAGAACTGGCAGACCTTTCGGCATCACCTCTCTACACCATTTTCACGCCAAGTCATCTTATGACCACAATCATCATTTTTGCCCAAGGACAATTCCAGTTTCCATATAAATGAACCTATCGTCTAACCTGTATTCTATCCGAAACCACACTCCTCTGAACACCATGCAAGGCTTCATTTGCTCGACATCCGCAGGGCCTTGGCATTCTATATTGAAAGAACCTGCAATATATGAAAATCTCATCAGCCACTAATCTCGCTAGCTGACTGCTCTAAAGATTGCCTGCTATTGTCACAGCGAATATTGAAAATAATAGTGTCCTGCATTGCTAAATGCTATGAACTAGGAAACGTCACATTACCTCGTATGGTTAGAGCCCACTCTACCAATGCGGTGGCGTCTTCGACAGCCTTTCTCAAAGGAGTTCCCATGAAGGATATTGCTGAGTGGCGACATAGTCCTCCGACCTTACATTTGCAAGCCACTACGTGCTAACAAAGATCATCATCTCTGACACAGTAGTAGCCACTGTGGTCCTCTCCTTAGCGGCAACAAATTGACTTCGCACCCTCCGCCATATGTCGGCTATTGCTGTGGAATCACCCACAGTGGAGCACCCATGGGGACACGACCCGAAGAAGAATTTATTTACCTTGTGCAGTAACGATGGTTCTTCAAGGTGTGTCTCTCTGTGGGTGCTCCACGACCCGCCCTCCTCCTCTCTTCGGAGTCTGTTATTTTTGTCTTCCAGACCTTGACGATCAGGAGGAACTGAACCGTGCAACCAGAAACGGTGCAAAAAGCCGCAAGATGGCCACCGCGCATGCATGGTCCAGCAGACAACGGCTGAAAGATCTCTGAACTGCGGTGCTGGGATGAGCCGGACACCCACAATGGAGCACCCACGGGGACACACACCTTAAAGAACCATCGTTACTGCACAAGGTGAGTAATTTCTTCTTTCCTTTAATAGGGATCCATCTGTACCAACAATGGACCCAGTGCCTCCTTACTTGATTTTAGAAACCATGAAGAGCTTGAGCCCATGTCCAGATTCTAGACTGGTGTTGTCTGTCTCTCTCTCTCTGGTCCTAGCTAAACAGGTTGAACTTCATTCAGAGAAGACACTGCATTTAGTCTTTCCACTCATTGATCTGTCACCATGAAGATATCCAATTCAGTCTGAATCACATTTAGCTTCTCTGCAGAACAGAACATTTCTGCATCATGAAAAATTTACCTTCTTGGTCATTCAAGCAGCATTTGTTGTTTTGTCAGCCACTCAGGGCAGTTTTATAAGGGGGAGATTTTGTAGGCATGTTGGCGGGGAGAAAATTGCTTTCGGTATCTCCCATATAGATTCCGTTGTTCTGGTGTCACTCATGGATCTAAACTGTCTAGGCTCTTTCGATTTTTCCTGTGCTCTATGCCTTATTTAAATCCATGTCCTATTTATGAATCACAAGTTTGAGTGAAGCTTTCACAGAGTGATAATTCTTGCCTTTCAGGGGTATTGTGAGGTTTGTGATTTATTTTTCCAGACAACTTTGACATGTTAAGTTCTATATGAATCATTTAGTATATGCATCCTTTCCTATTTATGGTGGGGCGGGAGGTGGTAGTTAAAGGGGCAAATAAACAGACTAACATCATTGTTGTCCTTCATTGATGATTAATGGGTCACTCTTTTAGAGAAACAGCCATTTCTTTGGGTTTGTTTTTCCTTTACTATTTTCATTGCTACTGCATGGCTCTATCTGTTTGGTGTTGAACCTGGCCATGATAAGAGTCATGGTGGTTTGCAGAAGAATATATTCTGTAGAGTTTGCAGCCACTGTGTGTTGTCTCCTGTGGTTGAGGATACGCACCCAGAATTGGTAAAATTGATCCACAGCTTTTCACTGCTCATCTACACTACAGGGACAGGTCAATCTAACCTGCACAATTTGAGTTAGGCTAGTAGCACAACTCAAATAGATGTAGTTTAGATCTACTGATAATAGGGGCCACAGCTCTGGGTCAACAGAAAAAACTTTCCCATCAATTACCTTCACTGTTCTCGTTCTGGTGGAGTAGTAGAGTTGTCGTCGGGGGAGGGGGGGTGATCAGCAATCGATTTATTGCGTTTATTACTAGAGGAGGTCAATCAGCCACGTTGAATCAGTCACTGGCGTGTTGATTCACCGATAGTGAAGATGTGCCCTAAACTCGCACCTTGCAGTATCTGATCTGTGGGAAATACATTCTGTCATCCACCGCTGGCTCCTGGTGGATGATGACCTAGCCTTAGTAATGCATTCCTTCCTTACTACTTAACTAGAGCAACGCAATTTAACAGAGCACAAAACCATCAGCCCTCAGCAAGCCATAACTGGTACAGTATGCAGCAATATGCTTGTTCATTAATATAGTTGATGTGAGCAGATCAAATGTGATCCTTGCTGTATGCTAGATCCCCATTGAATGTCAAATGAAATTCAAGGTCTTGGGCTTTATCATCAAGATATTTGGACTTGAGATGTTTGAAAGACTGCTCACAGTGATAACTGAGTTCCTTGTGTTCAATGGAAATTATCTACTGTCAAGACAAACGTAATTTGAAATGAGAAACAATTTTTGTTAGTGGCTGGCCCAAGACTAAAACAAACTGTTGCTCTAAGAACCACTACAATCTTGCTCTTCCTTCTCCAAATGTCAGGTGCATTCTTTAACCTTGTCTTCACCAATAAAACACACCTTATGTTGAAGAGAAATTAAAATCCTAATTTTAAATTGTTGAATGAATTGTTTATCCCTGGAGCAAGGAGAGAGAAGGAAAAAACCAGGTATATTTGGTGCACTACTGAAAAGTATTCAGATACCACAGTGATGGTCATGGTATAAGAATATGATTAGAGGAGAGTACATTCTGTAACTGAGTATCAGGAACCAGTGCAAACTACACTTGAGCCCAGTATGGGCTCCCTAATGCTGTGGGGGAGTGTCCCAGGCTTCGGGGGCCAGATTCAGGGAAGCCGGAGGCTGCACCTGGCCCCCTGGGCCTTAGGTTCCCCATCCCTACTTTAGGATAACATTGTGCTTGGGAAGCTGACACATCCTAGCATCTATATCACTTAAAAATAACAGCCTGCCTGCCTGGTGTCTGCTGAGTGGAACAGCAATGATTGATAGAGCTAGCATAAATCAGATTCACCTGTGTGCTGATAATTAAAATGGGATTTGGAAGTGATGTCTTTAATATAAAAAATACTATGAAAGTCAAAACGAGGCATATAAGTGTAAAACAGTTATGTTTTCAGGCTAAGAACTTAACAAGGAATAAATTCATTTACCAAGAGAGATGGCTTAACAGGACTGCCTGATTATAAACTGTGTAACTGCCGTTTTCTCCCTGACACTTACCGTGTTTTCTCATATATTTTCAGCCTGCTATAGCCGAGAGAGGTTAAGACTGGAGTGGTTATAAACTGCAGGATAGCCTGGTGCTCTTTTGTTGCCCCCAGAGTAACTTCTGCTGGCAGAGGTTGGGTCTGGAGTTCATTGTCAGCTGTATATGCTTTTAGTTGCTCTCATTTTGGATATTCAGCCTAGATAGTGTTGGAACTGTGCTTATTTTTCTGCCCTTTTCCAGGAATGCTTCAATACATTATTTTTTAAACAGGAGACAGGGAAAATGAGCAACATTTTATTCCCGTGTTGACTCTTCCAGGGTTTGTTTTGTCTCTATTGAATGTAAGACATATAATTTACACACAGAGCTGGAATTTGCTGGTGAACAGCTGGGGTTAAATTGCTGTGCTGTTGAGCAGTCAGACACTATTATCTGTGGTGCCTTTGTCCCCACTTACTTAAGATGGGGAGGTGATCCTTATTTGTTTCAACACAGGTTTCTTGTAATCAAACCTCAGTGACTTTAATAACAGATATTGCCTGTCATGCAAGCTGGGCTGTGAAGCTCTGATCATTACTTATCTGACTGTAGATGTTTTGCTCTAGGCAGCTGGTTAGATAAATTCCTATCTTTATCTTTAGGTTTCTAGACACTAGCTACATATTCCCTTCTCCATGATTCTTTTCTTGAGCATTTCGCAGTGAAGGTTCCCCATGGTGTTTATTCTGTCTCGAATATTATCAGAGTCTAGATATTAAAGGGGTCTGCGAGTTTTGGGATCCAGTTTTGTCAAGATTGCAACTAGCTAGTAGTTCAGCTTTGATGTGTGTTACTGAGATGTTATCTTTGTTTTTGAAGTACAAGACAAACTGAACTAAGATTAAAATTAATAGCGCTCTTAACCTATTATTATCCCAAGTGGGTAGTGGAATTTTCTGCTTTAACTGAAGCATTGTTTGGAAGCTCTTTCTCTTCAATGGCATTTGTTTATTGCTAACAGTTTATCATGTAGACAACTCTAAAGCAGCCTGTTATATT